ACTGGCTAATAGCATCCCTGCCCACTCTAAAACCTCTCAAGAATCCCAACTCCACCGCCCTCTTAATCAATCTACTAAGGGCCTCCATCACAAAAAGGAACAAGAACGGAGAAATAGGATCCCCTTGTCTCAGTCCCCTCGAACTAGAGAAAAAATCGGTCGGAGCTCCATTAAAAAGAACTGAAAAACGAGCACAAGAGATGCAAAATATAATCCATCTCCTCCACCGCTTCCCAAATCCCATCCTCTACATCAAGTAAAGGAGGAAACTCCAGCTCACATGATCATACGCTTTCTCGATATCCAGCTTGCATAAAACACCCGGATTCCCACTACTCAATCTGGAGTCAACACATTCGCTAGCAATAAGAACTGAATCTAATATCTGCTGACCTCCCACAAAGGCATTCTGAGAATCAAAAATGACACCATCTAAAACCTTCCTCAACCTAGAGGCCAGGACTTTAGCAATCAACTTGTAAATGCACTCCACCAAGCAAATAGGGCGAAACTCCCTGACATCCAACGCCCCACCCTTTTTTGGAATGAGAACAACAAAAGTGGCATTCAAGCTCTTCTCAAAAGAGCCCTAAGCATGGAAAGCATGAAAAGTACCCGTAATCTCCTCACGGACCACCTCCCAACTCTCCAAAAGAAAACTCATGGAGAAACCATCAGGACCTGGGGCTTTATCCCCATTACAGCTCTTCAACGCGGACAACATTTCCTCTTCAGAAAACAGATCCTCCAAAACAGAACTTTCTTCACCCGATAGAGAGTCAAAATGAAGCCATGCGAGCAAAGGTCTCCAACCAGCTGATTCTGTGAACAATCTCAAATAGAAATCTGCAATACCCTAGCAAATCTCCTCCTCCTTACATATCACCTCCCCATCCATTCGGATTCTCCCAATATGATTGCCCTTTCTATGAGCATTAGCAAGTCTATGAAATTTTTTTGTGTTCTTACCCCCTTCCTTGAGCCACAAAGCTCTAGACTTTTGCCTCCACGAAATCTCCTCCAAAACAGCAATCTCGGCAAACTCCGCCTAACACTCCACCCTTCTAAATCTCAAGGAGTCCGACAAAAGTCCCTGCCCCTCAATCCGATCAATATCAGCAATCTCTGAAAAGACCCTATTCTTCCGCCAAACCAAATTACCAAAAACCTCCTTATTCCAAACTTTAAGATTGTTCTTCAACAGACGAAACTTACTTGCGAGAGAATGACTGGGAGAGCCACTCACACAATACCCCTCCCACTAGCATCGAACCCTCTCCAAAAAACCTTCAACTCGAAGCCACATATTCTCAAATCTGAAAAGGGATCGTCTACTACGCAACCCACCGCAATCCAACATCAACAGAACATGATCAGATAAAGGGCGAGCCAAAGTGGCCTAAACAAAATCTGAGAACTTCTCCTCCCAATCGCTCGACACAAGGAACCTGTCAAAACGAGAGAAAATAGGAGGAGAACAACCACTAGACCACGAAAAAGGACCACCCACCAAAGGCAAATCAATCAATCTCCACTCATCAATGAACTCTAAGAACGACTCCATTTCAAATGTCCATCTTCCCCCTGTCGACCTCTCAAAAGGAGAACGGACAACGTTAAAGTCCCCTCCAACACACCAAGGCATCTCCCATCGTCTACGGACCTCACCCAACTCCTCCCAAAACAAATGTCGTACACTGTCTTCTGTAGGGCCATAAACACCAGAGAATACCGAACGAAAACCATCCTCCAACAGAGAGAGAACGTAGGAAACAGAGAAGAGCCCCACCTAAGAGTCTCCCAAAGAAACCCAACGGTTATCCCACATGATAAGAATGCCACCTGCAAAACCAATCGCATCCAAAGCAATCCATTCCACAAATCCCCCACCCCCCCCCCCCCCAAGCTTCTCACAATCAAGTCTGTCATCGATGCAATCTTAGTTTCTTGAAAACACACAACATGCCCACCCTCTTTCCGAATCACCTACTTCACAACTTTTCTTCTCTTCGGGTCATTGAGGCCCTAGACGTTCCATGAAAAAGGCGTAGCTTCATGAGGAAACAGATGAAAAATCACTCCCACTCCTCCTTCCACCGTCCCTCACCCTGGACCCCTGTTCCTCCTTTCATAAGTGACGACATCAATGGGACTCCTCTCCTCCCTCTCCCCCACCTCAACCTGCAACCCATCCCTTCTACCCGCCCTCTCCAAAATCTGAGCATCAATAACCTCATTAAACAATCTCATCGCCTCATCCAACCTACCTTCAAACGACACACCCAAAAGAGAACCCACCTCTCCACCCTTCTTTCTCAACCACTCCTCTTCCAAACTCCCCTTACCCACACCAACAGCTGAAACTTCCATGCATTCCCCCTCCGGCCCCATCACAGCCAAAGGGACAACACAGTCAAAATCATCACCACCCCCTTCCCACTGAACCAAGCCCAAATCCCCTTCAAAGAAAGAACCTGAGCCTCCCTCCCAAGCATCGGAAGAGGAAAGGGAACCGCAGGCGTCCCAGCCTCCTCATCAAACAAAGAACTTCCTAAGATGCTCTGTAAGCCTTTCAATGTTAAATGGTCCCGCAATTCCTTCAAAAAAACGTTGGCTGTTACATCATCCAGCTTAATTTTCACATCCCTTCCCACACAAACAGTAACTCCCTCGCTACTAAAATCACACAGCCTAGAGGAGCCAAGCCCAAATTCACAACCTTCACCATGACAATCAACCGCCGGCTCTCCCTCAAGAACTGGGGACAAACATTGAGAACCCGACTCCCCCACGCCTTTATTCAACCCCAAACACCTTCGTGACTGAGAGGAAGAAGGAGAAAAAGGTTGAGAAGACGGTAGTCCATGTGAAATACTTGTTGTAGCGTTTGGATTTCTTATGATCAAATGAGTTATACCTAATGTCATTGCATTAATGAGTATGTCATGATAGTATTTGGACCTTAAGGCATGATTCATGTGGATGGCATCGCTTATGTGCACTTGTAAGGTGCAATGTGGTTACATATTGGTACATGTTATCTTGTGGAATTAGATGATGATTTTGGGAGATACCAAGGATTAAAATTTGAGAAAGTGAGGGCTCAACGCTCGCGGGTGAAACATGAGTTTCCCCATTTTATATTGGTCAATCGGTTGGTTTCCGGCAGGTTAGTAACCCGAGCACCGTGAAACATGAGTTTCCCCATTTTATATTGGCCAATCGGTTGGTTTTCGGCGGATTAGTAACCCATGAACGACCATTTATTTTAGGTGCATAGCACGGCTATGTAACCGGGAGTGTAGATGTGTTTCCCAGTTATCCTATTTATTGATTTCGAATCTTATTTTTTTATGGAAATGCTTATGTGGCTATTTATTTACCTCTCTTATGATATGGTGGTTTTGAAATGCATGCTTATATGAAGTTGTCATACTTCAATTATGTGATAAAAATGCCTATGTGATAGTATTTTGATTTCTTATGATCAAATGAGTGTTATACTTGATGTTATTGCATTAATGAGTATATCATGATATTATTTGGACCTTAGGGCATGATTCATGTGGATAGCATCGCTTATCTGGGCTTATAAGGTGCAATGTGGTTATATATTGGTACATGTTATCTTGTACAATTGGATGATGATTTTGGGAGATACTCGGCGGTTGAACTTTGAGAATGTGAGGACTCAGGGCTCACGGGTGAAACATAAGTTTCCCCGTTTTATATTGTCCAATCGATTGGTTTCTGGCAGGTTAGTAACCCGAAAATGATCATTTATTTTAGGTGCATAACATGGCTATAAGAAGAAATACAATATAGAAGAAAGATAAGAGAATTGTGTAAAGACTTGAATGAGATAAATCACTCATTCATATCTCTAGTATTTGTATATAAAAAGAGTACATGCTCATATTACAAGAAAGAAATTAAATCAAATCTAAATCAAATCACATCATCTTCTATGGCATATTCTATTCCATTATTCGTGGCTATCAAATCTCTATTAATATGGTAAATCATTCCCATAAATCGTAACTATTATATATGCTAACACTCCCCCTCAAGTTAGTGCGTGGATAACTGAGATGCCCAACTTGAAAAATGCATCTTCAAACACGGTCTTGCTATCACCTTTCTTTAGAATCTACAAATTGTAAAGTGCAAATCTGACTAGCGATGATTTTATCTCAAATGAAGTGATGATCAACAAATCAAAAATGTCTCCTCAGATCATAAACAATCAACAAAGTCTACTCATACTATAAACAACCAATCATGTCTCCTCAGACCGTAAACAACCAACAATGTCTCCTCAGACCATTTTCCTTCATACACATGTTTAAAACATGTAGTTGGAAGAATCAACAATATTTCCTCAGACCATTCCCCTTCATACATATGTTTAAACAATGTAGATGAAACAATCAACAATGTCTCCTCACTCCATTTTTGAATGGGTGGTGCCAAACTCGCAACGCCCTCATTGAGATTGAACCTCCCTGCCTACCCAATACTTCCCTGATGTGAATATTTATGCGAATGACTTACCATACTGTCTGCCAAGGCAGGAAGGCTTTTATTTCTTAAAGTTTCAACTCACATTGAGCATAAATTCATAATTCTATCGTTATTCTCAAGACTGCCATGGAAGAAACTTTTTTTCTACTTTGCTTCATCTTCTAACCATCGTCTCAGCAAATGTATGATATTTAAAAAATGTGATGTTTAAGTTTCTCATAATAGTCATCTGATTTTCTCATAATGATACATCACATTCGGGTGTTTATGTGAAATCAAGGAGTAACAGGTAACAATACCATTATTACCTTTCAAATTAATGATCTACCTTGCTACGCAACATGCACACTGTTTACTTCCAAGAAGATGCTTAAACTTTATAAAACACTATCATTACAAGCTGTTTCAAGTGTGTGACTAGCTAGGATGAATGCACTACCTCTAAAATGCGTGTGTTTTTGTGTGTGTAAAGATACCTTAGGGGCTGCAGCTGCTGCATTGTTCTCTGTTTGTTCCACTGCCTTGATATATTGCACCGCCTGTGGAACATCGCCGAATATTATGCCCTTAGACTGCAGAGAGAGAGAGTGAGATTAAAAATGTGGTGTCATTTTCTCATTACGGTCATCGGAATCTTTATTGTTCTTTTTCATGCACCAAATATGCAAGACATTTTAGAGCAAACCTGGAACTGCTAAATTGAATTTCCCCACATTTTAAATGTTGATTTGTAATTGTTCCCAAAAATTGGAACACCTAGGTTTCTGATAAATGCATATGCTCGTGTGTGTAAAGATACCTTAGGGGCGGCAGCTGCTGCATTTTTCTCTGTTTGTTCCACTGCCTTGATATCTTTCTGAACAACAATAGGATCTTTGCCCTTAGACACCAGAACAAGTGTCAAGAAAGAGAAAGAGAGATTAAAAATGTGATGCGTCATTTTCTCATTATGGTCGTCTGAATTTCTTTATTGTCTCCCTTCGGGACTAACAACTCAAACCCTGGAAGTTTCCGGTGTTTCTCATGCACCAAATATGCTAAACATTTCATAACAAAATTGAAACAGTTAATCGCATTTCCCCACATTTGAAATGTTGATTTGTAATTGTTCCCAAAACTTGGAACACCTAGGTTCCATGTCTAAATGTGTGTGCGTGCATGAGTAATGATACCTTAGGGAATTCAGCTGCTGCATTTTTCTCTGTTTGTTCCACTGCCTTGATGTCTTTCTGAACGACAATAGGATCTTTGCCCTTAGAAACAAGAGAGAGAAAGAGAGATTAAAAATGTGATGTGTCATTTTCTCATTATTGTTGGGGCACAGCAAAAGCAAAAGAAGAAAGACAAGCACACACCAAAACACAAGATATACGTGGTTCACCCAAAATCAGGGCTATGTCTACGGGAGAGAGGAGATTCGTTAGATATATTACAACAGTAGAGAATTTTTAACACCACACCATGCACACAAACTCTAGACCAAGTTCTCAGTGTACTCCACGAGACTCCCTCTTGCCATCAGTATTCACTCTTCCCAACGTGTAACTACATCTATGCCCATCAACTACAACTCTCATGAGGCTACATCTCTCAACTTATAAACTCTCAACCCTCAACCTAGGTATCTGTTTAAATAATCTCACACACAATTTCTTGTTCAACAAGGATTATAATTCTTTGGACCACAAGAGTTGTCTAACAAGAAATTACCTAATAAAACATGACTCTAAAATAGAAACCTAATTACACTAGAAATATGAGCCACAATTCCTAACAATTATGGTCATCTGAACTTCTTTATTGTCTCCCTTCTGGACTAACAACTCAAATCCTGGAAGTTTCCAGTGTTTCTCATGCACCAAATATGCTAAACATTTTAGAGCAAAATTGGAACAGTTAAATCGCCTTTCCCCACATTTGAAATGTTGATTTGTAATTGTTCCCAAAACTTGGGACACCTCATGATACCTTAGGGGCCCCAGCTGCTGCATTTTTCTCTTTTTGTTCCACTGCCTTGATGTCTTTCTGAATAACAATAGGATCGTTGCACACAATAGGATCGTTGCACTTAGGCTGCAAAGAGACAGAGAAAGAGAAATAAGGGGGGGGGGGGGGGGGGGGGGGGGGGATTGACTAATCATGGACTTAGTTCTGTTTAACTAGAAAAATAAAAAATAAAATAGGTAATAATAATAAAAAGATAAATACATCTTTGCACTTCATTTAAAAGAACTTTATGCGGATTCCATGATTAATTCAGACGATAAGTTTCCAAGTTATTCGCAACAGGGAAAGAAATTGTGTTAGCTTCATATTGTCCAAGTGCTCCAAACGCCATACTGCCAATTTTTAAATCCACTCACACATGACATCCAATTTTTAAAGGATGTGGACTACACTGTAGTACAAAGAGTCCACTGGATTCTTTTCCCTTCCCAACTCAGGTGTGTCTATCTACAATGCATCTAGCAAGATGAACAGACTCATAGCCACCATAATATATTGAAAGATTTAGAGTTTGTGGTTTTTAAGAACATAGTCAGGAACCTTACCTCGATTGCTGCGTCCACTTCTTTTTTCTCTGTATTTGCAACTTCCTTGATCTCTTCCTCATCATAACTAGGTTTTGTACCTTTTGACTTTAGAATAAATGTGAGAGACGTACCAAGAAAAAAAAAACAAGTACAAATGACTGTGACACACACACACACACACTGATATCCCTTTTACTACCCATATCTCAAAATTGTTATAAACCTATCAAGAGAGCCCTCTCATGACATTAACCATGAGCTCTCCTTGTTGATTGCTGGATTGAGAGATTTATTAAAGGAATCATTTAGCTTTCACATATCTCAAAAATTGTCTCAATCAAGTGGTTAATATAGTCATGACGTTTGTGATGAGAGGGCTCTCAAATTAGAGAACAAGCAAATATAATCTGAATATGCATACATGTCCATGCTATTGGAGAATGTGACAAGACATATGCTTATATATCAGAAATCAAGGTAAATCATCCTGTCAGGTGTGTAGTTGGATGACCAATTAGAGATACTAAAATATACTCCCATGACAAAATTTTATCCTATAAGGATCATTTGAAAAAACTGTACATGACATATTTAGCCTTCCTATGTGAAGTCTCCAGTAGTTTGAAATATTCCTCATCAGGCAAATTTGTCATCCCAATCCATGGCCCTCTTTCCATATAAAGGCATACCTTGCTTGCAATGAGTTTCTCCAAGGCTTCAGACCCATTCTCTTCAACATATTTGTCTGCCATAGCCAGAAAATTTTCCTCCTTGTGAGATAACTCCTTCAGCTCATTGAATTTGTTGATAACAACTTGTGGGTTCACATGACAGTAAGGACGAACATGGCACACATAAACATGATAGGCACCATCAAAGCGAGGTAGCACCAAATAGGAGATGGCCATGAGTTTTATGTAAGGCCAGAACGGAAGCCTGACATGAACAAAGAGAAATTTATTGCAAGTGAAGAGAAGAACATGAGTATTCTTGCTTCTTGATAGTTAAAAAAATATAAAAAAATTATCTCCTACTATTCCAAAATGACATAATCTTGTTAGTGTTTTAGTTGTTCCAAGATATGGAAATTTTAAAATTAGGGTAAAAGAAAGTAAATCCACTTTGTGCTAAACAATTACATACATATAGATGATATATTGAACTTTCATATAATATTTAGAACCCACAGTTGCATATGGCTTTGTTCTTACTCAAGGTGGGAAGTTCATGAAAATAGGTATGTTCATGAAAGGTGGTGAAAATGCCGATTCAAAAATGACACTTTAGTGCATATAAGTTGGAGGCTAGTCTGTATCTGATTACTCCTTCAAACACCTCAATTTGATGAGAGAGACACCAAGTAATGACCTTTCTTATGCAAAAAGTGAGGAACTCCAAAGAACATATATCAAGTACTAGCCAAAAGACTGCACATTAAGAGGTGTACAAAATGGTGAATTTTGATCAGATGATGTGAAATGAAAAAATGCTGCATTTTTTAGGTAGGAAGGAGAAGGGTTGATGTCACTTTCGGGAATGGAGACAAAAAGTGGTGCCATGGAGATTGGAATATGTTGCATATCTTTCCCTCTCTCTCTTCTTCTTCTTCTTCTTTTTATTTTTCCCCCTTTCATGTGTGTGTGAGTGTGTGGCAGATGGGCCTAGTTTAGGGGATGAATTCTGTGTTTCGTTTTTCCCCCTTCATGTGTGTGTGATTTATGCATATGCAGCCTTATATGAGATCCAAGTTAATTAAAGTTATGTTTGTAATGGAAGCAGCAAAAATTAGATGGGATAAGGAGTGAAAATGCTACATCCTTATGATGGAAAGCAAAAATGTTACAATTTGGGATGAAGGCTAAATATGCTGCATTTTGAAGTAAGAGGTGTTGCTCTTGAGTCTTGAAAATGGTATAAATGTAACATTTGAGATGCGTTGTAACTTGCCAAGTTAAACCGAACAATCAACAACTCCCAAAAGAAGTTTGAGCTTAACTCGTTTATCATGCAATTAAACTCAAGAAAGTATCTACTAGGAGCAATCTTGATCAGAACTTGCGTACTCTTTTTTTTGTAGTGTCAGAAATAAGTATGTTCATCTGCCAAGTTCCAGCCAAACTCAATAGGTCGGCAAGTTTTATTATAATATGATCAAGTCTGACTCGCTTATCTCATAAGAGGTCTGGAGCAAACCTCTAACTTGTCCAAGCTCTAGCAGCATGGCCTTGGTAATCTTACAATGCACCCTACGTTTGGAGATGTTTCCAAACATGTTGTTTTTTACTTGGTTTTCAAAAATGCTATATTGTGGGTAGGATGCCAACGGCAAAATTTACAAAATCGGAATTACTTGGTCATCATTTTTGTCCAGAATGATGCAGTAATGGCATTTTTTAAGTTAAAAGCACCTTCAAATACTTGTATCTGCAGAACTTTCAACTCATGCCCAGAGTAGCAAAAAAAACACCTACCATACATGTTCATGAGCCTCCAAGGCCCAATCATACCATCATTATAAAAGCATTGCTGGTTAACAAAAGATAACTCATTTACTAATGAACCAACTAAATCTGACCCTTCAACGAACTCAGCTCGATTCGATTTCAGCCTTAATCATGCCAATATTGTTGATCTTTCCTAGAGGTGTTCAAACGTATGTAAATTCTTCGAGTGTGCAAAATTGCTAGGAAGAGTAAAGCACAGTGGAAAAACACAAAGAACAAAAATGTGGGGAAGCATAAGAATGGTGCCTTCCCAAGCAAAATACAGTGGAAAATCAAAGAAAATAAACAAAGTCATATGTATGTAGAATATAATATAATTAATTACCATTCAATGGGTTTTGAAAAACCAAGTTCCAAGAGAGAAATTAGAGAGAAAAGGATCCAGTATGTGATCAACTTCTGCATGTCCGAGTTTGACTTGCCCTCAATAGCTCGAATTGAAGCATATCTGTTAAAGAACAAGTACATATATACCAATGATCATAATAAACCAATGATAGCCAAATGATATAATTTTATAATTTCTACAAAAAGAGTTAAAAAAAAAAAGTCATGCAACTTTACTCTAATGCCATCAAATACTACATAAGAGCATAGAGAGAGAGAGAGAGAGAGAGAGGGAGAGAGGGACAGAGACTTACAGAGGATAGCCCAGAGAAACTAGCGGCCTACAAGTAAAAAACATAGTAATGCGTTAAAATTAAATGATCTTACACACACATACTATGCAATATTATATATATAATAATGAGCATGAACTTGAAATGAAATAAAGAACAGCAGATCTAGTCCAAGAGGATCACAGAGCATCTAACATGAAATTTTGGGTCTTCGAAAGGAAAATAGAAATAGATAAACAAAAGCAGATTAATTGTTTGCAGGATTAAAAAAAATTAGTCATTTCTTCCAAAATTTTCTCATTTTGTGGTGAAAAAAAAAAAAAAAAGGTTAATACAATACCAAGCAAGAACATCAAAGCACGTTACTGCAAATCCTAGAAAACCCATCTCTGATTCCAATCTTATCTTTTTCCTTGGCCTTCCAATGGATTAAAATGTTCAGATTGTCTTTAGTAGTAGTAATACGAAGAGACTTAATAATTAAGAGAACACTTGACATGGGTGGACAGTGTACGGACAAAGAGAAACCGACCAATCGGTTTTTAGAAAAAGAGAAAAGGAATTTATGCAATAGGGAATGACCTTGGAATTCCTTAATTTACAAAATGACCACGCTATGCTGTCCTTTCGTGTTTCGCTTCAGTATAATATTCTCGTTGCCATTTTTGCCCTTCCATTTATGGAGTATTCCATAATCGGTATGGCACATTATTATTATTATTATTATTTTCATTTGTTATGTTTCTTCTTAAATTTTTTTTTTTTATTTCTAATTATTTCAACCCAAGTTAATTTTATTTCGTCTCGTTGTCCTTCACATTTTATACAAATTAATTTTTTTGTTTTCTCTTTCCAAAAAAAAAATAAATTTTTTTTTCTTGTTTCAGTAGTGCATCCGCAAACTTACATGATATATGTGTTTATATCGCCTAAACAAGCTTTCTATATTTTATTAAAATTCATTCCAACATTCTAATTTTAATTATAAGAATGCGGACTTGCTAATTTGCTGTAAGGGTGAACTCGCCCTTTTGCATGGACACACATACTTGTCAATCAACAATTCTTTGCTTTTGCTTTTCATTTCAAAATAATAAAAAAAACAGACAAAAACAATGTTTGCTTCCTTGAGAAGTAACTTCTTATGAATAGAATACGCAAATACCTTGTGTTTAAAAAAAAAAAAAAAAATCCTCAAATTTTTACAAATTGATCAAATAAGAATATTTTGTCAAAAGACAAAATATAATTTTTTTTTTTTTAAAAAAAAAAACTAATTTCTACATATTAGTGTAGATTACTAAATATGGTGTTTTTTGCACTGATTTGTTTGCACTTAACCTTTTTTAATAAAGCAAAACTCTGGTTGTGAATGACAACGATAAAAGCAAACATTCTACTATTTCCAAACACATCCACTAAAACGTAGACTCAAAAGGTACATTTTCTTGGAGTTTAATCCTGAAAATGTGAAAACCAGCTTTGTACTCAAGCCTGTCCACCACCTGCAAAGATCTTGAATCCGAGTCAAGTGTTTCTTCCCATTAAGGTGACTAAGCCATTGCTATCTCACCAGGGCACCAGCTTATATTACAGATGCTGCAACAAAATGTAGACTACTGCTGCTGCATCGCAGTACCTGCAGCATTGTTTAGATTCCTCCTTCGCTCCCTCCGGCCGAGCTTTCGGGGCTCCTGCTTCTGATTGGATTGATCGGATACATTTCCTGTTGAAAAAGAGGAACCATTAAGGTGACTAAGCCATTGCTATCTCACCAGTGCACCAGCTTATATTACAGATGCTGCAACAAAATGTAGACTACTGCTGCTGCATCGCAGTACCTGCAGCATTGTTTTGATTTCTCCTTCGCTCCTTCCGGCTGAGCTTTCGGGGCTCCTGCTCCTGATTGGATTGATCGGATTCAATTCCTGTTGAAAAAGAGGAACCACCCTTGTTTTTATCTGTTTGTTTACTTCCTTTCAGCTTCTCGCACTTGGCCCTGTGTTTCTTCCCTTGAAGATGGGAATTCAAGGTTTTCTCAGTGAGGCCTGTCTTCTGACATACAGCACAAGTCAGATCTTTCTGAACTCCCTTCGACGTGGTTATCTCCGGATGTTTGTTCTCTCCACCAGCAGCTACTGATGTTGCTGTTACTTCTTCGATCTTCGCAGCTGCAACTGTTATTTTCTCAGCAGCATGAGCAAGATTTGACACTCCATGCTTCACCTGCAGTAAGTGAAAGTAAGAGAGGTTTATCACATTCATTCACCAGTACTGTTGCTTGATTCTAGAACAACATAATAATTAAGAAATAAATAGGTTCTGCACAATATGACAAGATGAGTGAAAATAAGTGGAACTAATTCACCTGTTGGAGGACAAAAGAAGGTGACATAACTTTTGATCCACAAATATTATTTTTGTCTATCACAAAGACAGTTCATTGCACAAAAAAAATAAATAAATAAAAAGAGCGACGCGAACCTGACTCATTGTTGACTTCCAAGGGAGGAAAGTTTCTAATGTTTATGTTTCAACTCACATTGATCATAATTCTGCTGTTATTCTCAAAACTGCCATCGTGGATGAATTTTTTTTTTTTTTTCTTACTTTGCTTCATCTTCTAACCATGTCTCAGCGCGTACAATATTAATTGCAAAATTGGCGTGGTAAGACCCTTTACAGATGTGATGTGTCATTTTCTCAAATTGACCATCTTATTTTCTGTTGCATTTTTTCTAGGTTTCCAACTCAAAACCTGGAAGTTTCCAGTGTTTTTTTCATGGGCCAAATATGCTAAACATTTTAACCAGAACTGTTAAATGTCATTTCCCCGCATTTGAAATGTTGATTTGTAATTGTTTCCAAAACATGTAACACCTAGGTTCCCGATTAATAATTATGCACACGTGTGTAATTAATGATACCTTGACTGTAGCTGCGGCATTTCTCTCTGTTTGTTCCACTGCCTTGGTATCATTCTGAACAAGAATAGGATCTTTGCACTTAGACTGCACGGAGAGAGAGAAATAAGAAAACTCCTCATGGAGTTCTGCTCTGCAACATCTTTGCACTTCAATTAAAAGAACATTATGCAGAATCCAATCATTACACTTTCAAAGAGGCCAAAAAAACAACAATTTCATCTAAAGATCTATAACCTCTACCTGAGACCCAACAAAAAAGAGTGGAAACAATAGAGAACTTAAGAAAAGAAATAGGCCTCTCCTTCCCCTCAAAATATCTCCTATTCCTCTCAAGCCAAATACACCACCACACACAGAGAGGAGTAGCCCTCCAAGCATCAAGAACTTGGCCCCCCACAAAACAATCTCTCCAAGCCTCAACCAGTTCTCTGGCAGAATGAGGCATGACCCACTGGAACCCAAACAAGCCAAGCATCAAATCCCAACAATCCTTGGCCATGGAGCAATGCAAAAGAAGATGGTCCACTGCCTTTGTTTAAATCCGCTCACACATGACATCTAATTTTTAAGGATGGACTACACTGTAGTACAAAGCTCACACTGGACCCTTTTCCCTTCCCAACTCAGCTGTGTCTGTCTACAATGCATCTTGCAAGACGAACAGACTCATAGCCACCATAATATATTGAAAGATTTACAGTTCATAGTTTTCAAAGACATAGTCAGGAACCTTACCTGGATTGCTGTGACCTCTTCTTTTTTCTCTGTATTTACGACTGCCTTGATCTCTTCCACGTCGTGACTAGGTTTCGTACCTCTTGACTGAAGTATAAATGTGAGAAACTTACCAAGAAAACAAGTACAAATGTATGAAACACACACATATGGAGATCCCTTTACTACCCATATCTCAAATTAATCCAGTTCAATATAATCCCAAAATTGTTGAAGACTAAAGCTATAAGGAAAGCCCTCTCATGACAAGAACGATGAGCTCTCCTTGTTGACTGCTGGATTGAGAGATTTATTAAAAGCTTCATTCGACTTTCACAAATCTCAAAAATTGTCTCAATCAAGTGGTTAATAAAGTCATGGCTTTTGTCATGAAAGGGCTCTCAAATTTGAGAACAAGCCAATACAATAATACAAGGTAAATCATCCTGTCAGGTGTGTATTTGGATGACTAATTAGAGATACTAAATCATACTCCCATGCAAAAAATTTAATTTACCCTATTTGAAAAACAGTAGACTTTTAGTACTGAACATATTTAGTCTTCCTATGTGAAGTATCCAGTAGTTTAAAATATTTCACATCAGTCAATTTCTTGTCATCACAATAAATAGCCCTCTTTCCATATAAAGGCATACCTTGCTTGCAATGAGTTCCTCCAAGGCTTCAGACCCATTCTCTTCAACATATTTCTCTACCATAGCCATATAATTTTCGCCCTTATGAGATAACTCCTTCATCATATTGAATTTGTTGATAACAACTCGTGGATTCACATGAATGTAAGGGCGAACAAGGCACACGAAAACATGATATGCACCATTAAAGCGAGGTAGCACCAAATAGGAGAAGGCCATGAGTTTTATGTAAGGCCAGAATGGAAGCCTAACATGAACAAAGAGTTGCAAGTGAATAAAAGAAAATGAGTAATCTTACTTCTTGATAGTTAAAAATAATAATCTCCAACTATTCCAAAAAGACAACTTGTTTTTAGTTGATTCAAGATTTGAAAAAAAATAAAAATTAGGTAAAAGAAAGTAAATCTACTTTGTGCGTAACATTACATACACAAAGATGATATTATTGAACTTTCATTTAACATTCAGAACCTACAGTTGCATATGGCTTTGTTCTTACTCAAGGTAGGATATTCATGAAAATAGGTATGATCATGAAAGAAGGTGAAAATGACGATTCAAAAATGAGAGCAGTCACTTTGTGCATATAAGTTGGAGGCCGGTCTGTGTCTGATTACTCCTACAAACGTACACCTCAATTTGATGGGAGCGATATTGAGTAATGACCTTTCTTATGCAAAAAGTGAGGGACTCCAAATAACATTGTACCAAGTACTAGCCAAACGACTGCACATTAATACTATTGTTGAAAAGTAATATTTTAAAATGGTAATTTTGAGAGGGCGTGAAGCGAAAAATGCTGCATCTTTTAGGTTAGAAGGAGAAAAGGGATGTCACTTTCGAGAATGGAGAGAAAATGTTGTGCCATGGAGATGGAAAAATGTCACATCTCTTTCTGTGTTTTGGTCCAATCTGGTTAGATGGAAAAAAATTGAAGAAATCCTCCCATGTGACAGCAACTGTGATTTATGCATGTGTGGCCTTATATGAGATCCATAAGTTAATCTTGAGAAATAACAGTGGGAAGTCACACCAAATGACATTCATGAAATAATTTTTTTCAAAAAGGAAAAAACGTTAATCTATAATGGAAGCAGCAAAAAATAGATGGGAAGAGAAGTGAAAATGCTAAATCTTTACAATAGAAAGTAAAAATGCTATAATTTGAGTTGAATGCTAAAAATGCTGCATTTAGGTGAAGATGAGCAAAAATGCTGCATTTCGAAGTGAAGTGTTGCTCTTGAAAATAATACAACTGCTACATGCCAAGTTAAGCTGAAGTAGGTTGCCCAAGTTTGGTTTCAACACTTAACAACTTCAAAAAAGGTCTGAGTTTAACTTGTTCATCATGCAATTAATTTCAAGAAAGCATATACAATGAGCAATCTTGATCTGAACTCGCGTACTCTTTCTTTTTGTAGTGTTAGTATGTTTCTCAGCCAATTTTCAGCCAAACTCAATAGGTCAAGAAGCTTTATTATGATATGATCAAGTTTGACTTGCTTATCTGATAAGAGGTCTCCAGCAAACCTCTAACTTGTCCGAGCTCTTGTAGCTTGGCCTTGGTTCATCTTACAGCCCTACATTTGAGGATGTTACCAAAAATGTTTTGAGGTGATGGTCAAAAATGGTACATTGTGGGTAGTATGCTAACAGGAAAATTTACAAAATCTGAATTACTATGGTCATATAATTTTTGTCCAGAATGATGTAGTAATGTCATTTTTAAGTTAAAAGACACCTTGATATACGTATATCTGAAAAACTTTCAACTCATGACCAGAGTTGCAAAAAAACACCTATCATACATGTTCATGAACTTATAAGGCTACCAATTCAAGCTTCACTAATTATAAAACGATCCTGCTGTTAGAGTGTTTCTCAAGTTCATCATGGTACTTTATTTGAGGTGGAGAAATCTTCAGTTGAGGTGGAGCTATGAAGAAATCTTTGTTTGAGGTAGAGCTATGGAGAAGCACATGAAGACATAGTCTGATCACGTGTTGATTAAGTGAAGAATTGGGATGCTCAAAGTTACTAATTTTTGTTATGAACTTTGGTCACTATCAAAGTTGAACCGGTTCAAGTGGCTTTGAACTGGTTCAAGTGTGGGCGTCAACTTTTGGCTTTGGCTATTGCCAAAGTTGAACCGGTTCAACTTGGAAAGTGAGTTATTGGAAGCTACAAGCAACAGTTTCCTAGTCAATTTTGGAAGCCATAAGACTTGGGGAAAAGGCTGAAGATTTAGGGAAGAAGTTGTACCTGCTATTTTAAAGTTGAAGACGGATATGGTAACTCCTTGTAGGCAAGTTGGGAAATACTTGTCCAACAAGAATTGGGTTTTGAAGACTCTATAAATAGAGATGGGTATGAGAGATTGAGAGAGAGAGAGAGAGAGAAAAGGTGTAAGGGTTTAAGGGTGAGTGTTGTGAGGAGAGGGGAGAGTATATGCAATATGCAATTTCCGAGTGTATACATATGGCCTCAAAAGATATGATGAGTAAGTGAGTGGGGTTTTAACATGTGGTTGTATATTCTCTTCTTTAATTCATGATAGTGAAATCTCTCTCTCCATGGACGTAGCTTGGGTGAACCATGTAAAATATTGTGTTGTGCGTGGATATGTACAATTGTTATCTCCATATATGCTTGTGTTGATGTGATGTGATGATACTTCATGTGTGATGAAGATGGGATTTAACTCTAAACAAAAGCCGACCGTTGAGTGGATTGGAGGGAGTTAATTTTTCCCCAGCACCTATAAATTCAACTCTACCCATTTACTAATGAACGAACTCAATCTGACCCTTAAATGAAGTTGGCTGGTCCTGGCTGAACTTGATTGTAGCCTTAATCGTGTCAATATTGTTGATCTTTCCTGGAGGTGGTCGAACATATTTAAGTTGTTGGGTGTGCAAAATTTCTGGGTAGAGCAAGCCACAATGGAAAATCACAAAGAGCAAAAATGTTGGAAGGCATAAGAATGGTGCCTTCACAAGCAATACACAGTGGAAAATTAAAAAAAATAACAAAGTAATATATATGTAGAATGTAATATAATTAATTACCATTCAATGAGTTTGGAAAAACCAAGCTCGAAGAGAGAAATCAGAGAAAAAAGGATCCAGTATGTGATCAACTTCTGCATGTCTGAGTTTGACTTGACCTCAATAGCTCGAATTGAAGCACATCTGTTCAAGAACAAGTACATACCAATAATCATAACAAACCAATGAGAACCAAGTTATAGAAATTTTATAATTTCTACGGAAAAGAAGTCATGCAACTTTACACCTATGCCATCAAATATTATATATATATATATATATAGAGAGAGAGAGAGAGAGAGAGAGAGAGACTTACAGAGGATAGCCCAGAGAAATTAGAGGCCTACAAAGTAAAAAACATAGTAATAAATGAAGATTAAATGATCATGTCATACAAGCATACACACTCTGTGTAATATATATAATGATCATAAACTTGAAATGAAATAAAGAGCAGAAAATCAAGTCCAAGAGGATCACAGATTATCTAACATGAAAATATGGATCTTAGAAAGAAAAATGGAAATAGATAATAAACAAAAGCAAATTAACTTGTTTGTAGGTAAAATATTTTCACTAATTTCTTCCAATTTTTTTTTTCTTTTTCCGTTCTTATTTTTTTTTTTTTTTGTGTGGAGGGAAAGTTAGTACAATACCAAGCAAGAACATCAAAGCACTCCAGTGCAAATCCTAGAAAACCCATCTCTGACTCCAATCTGATCTTTTTTCTCGGCCTTCTGAGAGTAAAAGTGTTGAGGTACTTTTTAGTAGTTCTATGAAGAAAAGACTTCAAATAAACGACAGAGCACGGACAAAGAGAAGGAGACCAATCGGTTTTCAGAAAAGTGAAAAGGAATTTGCATAATGGGGAATATGACCCTTGGAATTCCTTAAATTGCAAAATGACCACATTATGCTGTCCCTTCGTATACATTAGTCTATTACAGGCTGTACAACACATTATTTCTCTTTTTCTTTTTCTTTTCTTTTTTTTGTCTTTTTCATTCTATTCTATGATAGATGTTTCTACTTGCCAATCATTTTTTCTTTTCTCATCAGTGCATATGAGAGTGTTTTTCTTTCCAATAATTTTTTCTTTTCTCATCAGTACATGTAATTTTTATGAGAAGAGAATCAAGAAAGAGATGATTCTTCGACAATTTGGCGACCCACCTCATTACCTACTCGCACATGGCTAATTTTGACCGGCAATCGACTCAGCACCAACTTAACATCTGCGACAATGGTTTAAATATACCGAGACCTTAAGCCAGCGCCAGAAATTGCTTTGCACACAATGAGAGAATCAGACTCAGAACAGGCCTTTGATTTAAGCCCCCAAGCATTCAACGCCCAAACCGCTGCCTTACTCGTGCTAACAAGCCTATAAAGACGGACTCGCCCTTTGCATGGACTCGCATGCTTGTTGTAAATGAACAATACTTGGCTTTCTTGACAAGTAACTTCTTATAATTAAGCGTCGCCATATGACTGGATCATAAGTCCGTCATAAACATTAAAAACGGTTGAATCACGACTCACAAGCAGCGATTTTACTTGTATGTACACGGGAAAAGACATGGAACTTGGCTATAATCTTCAAACTGTGATTGCTGTTTTTATAAATCAAAATTCTTTCCACTGTCATAATTTTCACTTGCGATCCAACGGATAGCATTGCACTGGCACTGTGACGTCAGTTAAAAAGGTGAAAATTCGTTGCCATCCATGGATACACCAGTGAAAATTATGCAACTTTACTAGCCGAACCGTGTCATGGGCCGCTCAAATGAAATCCATGCAGGGCATTCACCAACTCAAATTTCAACACATTCAAAGATTTTGCAAATCCCAGTTATAAAAACCACAACACACATTGCATCAAATCAAACAGACAATAAACATATTTCAGTGTTCAGATGTAGCCTCCATTCCATAAAGATGAAACATGTTGTCAACTGAGCAGCTGAGTTTTAAAAACATTATTGAAGACAGTATTAATAAGAACAAATTAAGTACTAGCTGCCAATGACGACTGATAATGGTAATCCTTAATCATAGTGTAGCATCGCCACAACCAGTAACCAAAAGCATAAAAATGAATAGTTCATATTGCAAAGCACCACTGTAGTACTCAAGCACTAAGTCCGGTAGCAGTGTTCCTCTTGCACTCAGCCAGCATATCCATATAGAACTGACACTTGCCGATGTCGCTCCCAGAGCTATTCAGGCACTGCATGAAATCCATAGATAAACAATCATCATTTAGAAAGGCGCATTGTCTATTCACTAGAAGCTGTAATAAATTACGGTCCCACTTTCAATAGCCAAAAAAATTAACTTGAAAAAACCTCACAAGGCTATAAATGTGATTATTCCCATTCGTAGGATGGCATGCATCTCAAATCCAAGAGGTAGGAGGACAAAATTCTCCATTCACTTCTTATTGATTCAAACAAAGAAACAAAAATAAAATAAAAACAAAAATCCCTCGTAGCATAGACAAACTTCTTTCTCCGTCTACATGTATCCCTATCAGGAGCTCCCTCCCAAAAAATAGGCACAGCTATACAGTCTAATTCATTTATTGATACTTTGAAGTCTTATTTATTTTGAGATGTTACACCTTAAATTTATGGCATCAAATGTTTTCATTTAAAACTAACATATATAAACAAAGTTCAGCAACATCAATGCACCTTCAATTTGCATTAACGGCTAGACCTAGGATTAATTCAAGAACGTTCCTCCAGTAAGTACACAAGAAAGACTATCATCCACCAAACTGGAAATGCTGGACCACAATAACCCAAGACGCAAAAGAACCAACTAGATATAATGATACAATATGCTTACAACCAAATTTTGAAAAATCGTCCCTATTTGAAAACTAAAATATTGAGAACATCTCAATCATTCTTCCATTTTACTTCCTCTACCATCAGCTATCCAAGACAAACACCCTTAAAACTATGTTTTTAAGTTTATACAGTGTTTTTGCAAACAAGAGTGAGAAAGAAAGTTTTGCTTACATCTTGGAATGCTTTTGAGTGCACACTGCAAGCATCATAGGCACCCATACTGCTTGTGGTGGGTGCAGGAGTGCCAGCTGATTCAGCGCCAACAGTTTCATGTTGAATGGTACGAGGACCCATCACACCATCCACAGCCCTGTGAGCCACTGCACTTCCAGTACCAAAAGCCATGCCTGTGACAAGAAGGAAAGAAGCATTTCAGTAAATGATAAAAACCGAAATGTATTTTTAAATTATTAATTATTGCTCCACGCACCTTGAGCTATTGTCGAGCCAAGGCTTCCGAGCATGGATCCACCACTGCTACCTTGAACAGGAGCAGGAGGGGGAGCACGGCTTGCTGCAGGAACAAACAGCAAATCCATGTGGGATCAAATAAAAAGACATATAACTAAAGCGAACACACATTACAATGTGAATATGAATGGAAGAAAAAGAACCAGGAAATTATTCAATAAAGAGCCAAGTATATGATGGAACCTCAACTATAGTAATTATGTATTAAATGTATGATATCTATACCTGGTTGGGGAGGGTTACGCACTGGTGCGGGACGACGAGGTGCGGATCTTCCTGCAATAGAAATTTGAAATAAATAAATAATAATAATTACAATCTAAAGATATACAATTAATCATGTAACAAGGCAAACCATATTTAACATCCAATTTCATAACACAACCAGATAAAGATGGAACAATCCAGTATTAATTTTAGACAGCAAAGGGAAGTCGAAACAAATAGAGAACACAAAGGCAGAAAAAAAATTAGATCCTGAATATTACAAGAGTCCAGCATCAATGTAACCATTAAAAAAACATGTAACTACCCCTCGTTGAAAAATAAAAATAAAAAGAAAACTGAAAAAAAGGAATACATCATAATTCATGACCAATCAACTGTGAATATTGCAAAAGTCCAGCATCCAGGTAACCATAAAAACAACTGTGGGAAGTGCATGTAACTACCTCGTTGAAAAAGGAAAAAAATCAAATCTGGAAAAAAGGATTACATCATAATTCATGACCAATCAACATGGCATATAAAACCAGAATGCATTGTAATATAGTAATTGATATGCCACATATTCATGACAAGGTGAATTGATGTTTAAACCAGATTTATGAAACACCAATGATCAAAGATATGTAATATCCATATTCAATATATAATGTACAATATATCACAAATTTCAAATGAAATTCATATGTACATCTATTCTCTACCATCAACACAATCTAGCTAAGGTGGTATCTCCAACTCACTTCGAGGAGACTCAAGGTGGGTGGAGGACATAGACTGGAGGTGGCATTACGAGTAACAGTAGAGCTATCCCCATCGTTTACCTCATACCATTGGACGGAACAAGGAAGTAATACATAGTTCTTTTCTGTTTTCTTTTGGAACGTTTCATTGTTTCAGCCTTAAAGCTTTAAATTACACAAGATTCTAACAGCGTAGAAACACACAAGTGAAGAGAAAATCAACAAATACCATTACCCAATATTTGTCTACCTGTATGGTATGAACCCTGGCAGGGGAAGACTAATTTATGGATGGCCAACCCACTCCAAATAAAAACCAGTCAAAATCCAATAATAGGTTAGAGGTAGAATTTGAGGAAAAACTCATAGAGGTATACAAGGAACAAGCAGCAAAATCTATGTTAAATGCACTTTTTTGAAGCCAACTGTTTCGCTCGTGTTCATTTGGAACTCTCTAATATCGAATGTACAATACCCACCAATACACGTTTAATCCAAAAAGAAGATCATTTTTTTTATATATAAATAATCCAAAAAGAAGATCATAGTAGCTTGATAGATGCTTTTCTTTTTTATTTATAACTATAAATAATTGCAGCCAAATATAAATTTCAGCTCCGAAAAGGTGTCACAAAATAGTTCAGATCAAGCAACCACAAACCCTGGTTAGATTGTTCAGGAACAAAGATATATTGAATCTAATATCAAACAAAATATCCCGATCTAGGGTCTAGTACAACTATTTGGCCTAGTTAAATTTTTCGTCTTACAAAAGAAAATAATACAAACAACACGATTCAGAATGGCATTTTCTCAGCAGCCAAACAAAAGGTAAATGAAACGCAAAACCCTAGGAACCAACGGTGAATTAGAAATCAAGTAGATCTGAAACCTTCTTAATACATCGATAGAAAGAAGGTGAGAAATGGGAGATCGAAAACTCACCACCTGAGCTTCGGCGAGGCATGATTTCCGAATAGAGGCGGCGAGACCCAGAGAGAAAGTCAGATAGAAGAAGAGAGAGGGACTAACAAGGGTTTGAAACCCTGAAGAGAAAATATATAAACGTAAATGGATAGGGACTAATAATCACCTGCGAACTATTTCATGTGAGCTCAAAGGCATGCAAAACATTGGTTGGTTGGAAGTGAGAAAGGGGTAGTCTTACCGACCCAGCTGGGCCGAGCTGAGCTTGAGTCGGTTCGCGCTCAGCTCAATCGACTACTGACTCATCTCAGACTTAGCACGGGATGAGTTTTGAAAAGTTAAATTTAAAGTTGGCTCATCAGTATTTTGAAAAGTTCAGGCTTGACTTGAGTAATGACAAAAATTATTTCGACTCGATTTGAACTCGTGTTTGATATTATGCTTGACTTGCCAATAAACTTATATGTTATATGAGTCTATATAGTTGAACTTGCGTTCATAAATTTATGCAAGATTATATTAACGAGCATGTTCATGAGCCTAGTCTTATAGTTAGGACTATTTATAACTTTAACGAGTTCATGTTCACGAGCCGCGCCGAATGCTATAGAAGATCAATCTACTCATTTACTAACTCAGTATAAAACTCGACTTGTTCATTTAACAAATAAGTCTAAATCAAAACTATTCTTATAGCTAGAGCCCGTTCAATAACAACCTTACTCGTAGATTGCGTAATCTTAATTATTAAATCTGGGTTTTATGGTGAAGCTAACATGATATAAAGATTGAGTTGCACAATCACGATAATAACAATATTTCATATCCCCGTTTGAATAAAATAGAACAGTTTAGTTTAGTATAAAATTGATAAGACTTTTTCAATTTAATTAAATTTTATATATTTTAAGATAACGAATTTTCTATTTATTTGAAAATAATATTCTATTTTTTGAGTAGAGCAATTTGGTTTTAAGTAACTTAACCAAATATACCTCAATTTTTTTTCACAATATAATAGTAACAATCCATTCATTCTTCTCACCAATGGGCATTGAGGTCCACTAAACGATTTTAGTCTTAAAGTGTACCAGATCATAACAACCCGATGCTTTCCAGTAGTTTCCTGAGAATATGCTGCATAATAGGGTCAATATTCCAACTTCTGTCACCACCGTCCATCTGAAGTTAGACCCGCTCGATATGTCCCACTTGTTAGATCAAAATTGGCGCTCTGGAAGAAACGCGTACAGTGCATCACCGCCACCAAATGTAAGACTGATCATATCTATGTTCTATATGTACAAGAAAATAATTCAAATTACACTTCTATTTTTATGGCGAGTTGCATGGCCTAATTTTTCCTAATTTTCGTTTATTTTATTTCAAAAATTCATTCTCCTCGTATATGCTAAAAAGGCTAGTATGCTGAGGAATCAAATATTTACGTTACATTTTCAAATATTTTGAGGTAGAGTTAATTAAAACGACACCCTGGTTTAACATAATGATAGATATATATAAGTTGGGCTATTTTTAAACGATGACACCCTCTTAGATTTGATAAAGTTAATAAAGACAAATGGCCCTGAATCACGGTGAATTGATAATATTGCCCTTTGATACATTCAATTACCAATTTATCCAATTTAATTATTTATTATTGACCAAAATACCCTACTCATACGAGGACCAAAATACCCTACCCAAACCAACAACCACCATGACTTGTTCACGCCCACCGCTGCCATTTCACAGCCCTACCATAGCCACCACTGCAACCACCACCCACCAGTCACCACCACTACCCACCAATATTGCCCACCATTTTCTTTTTCTCTCTCCACCCACCACTGCAACCTTTGCCACCATAACCAAAACCCATTAATTGAACCTATGAAAAACCTACAAAAAATCCCAATTGAACCCACCATTACCATCGCCACTACTGTTGGTTTCCGTTAACGACTCTTGAGCTTGACAGTGTTGACAAAAACCCACCACCATTGGACAAAACCACTAAAATCTCTTCTCGACCCAAGTTCTGTAGCAGACCCAAGCACCCACCCATCATATTATTAGAAAGATTCAGAATAACCAAAACAAAGTTTTCTCGATGTATGGAGAAATAAATATGTATGTGATTTTAGATAAAACAAACTCAGCCGAGATCATAAGCTTTATATATAGGAAAGGAGTGAAATTGTAATTGGATTTCTAATTATGTGACAATGATTATGAATAAGGTGTTCAGAGACCCCTGCAACTTCGTCGGCGTCTATTGCGACGACAAAGGTGATTGCGTTGAATCCCGGTGATCCGAGGGCCGGTGCGCTCAGTCTCACCGGACGGCTCGATCCTGCCATCGGTAAGTTCTCCCCTCTCGGTGAATTCATCGTTGTACCAGGTCGCATCTTCGGTTCGGTCCCTTCGTTGGTGTCCAAAACCCTAACTCGGCTCGACCTCAAACATAACGAACCTTCTAGTTCTTTCTCGCCAACCTCACTCCCTCCTTCACTCCAATACCTTTCTCTTGTCCTGCTCAGCTTTCTCCACAACAAACTTGGCCCTTTCAGCTTCTTATGCCGCGATTGGCGTTGCCTCAAGCTTCTTGTGCCGCGATTTGTTCGCGACTGCCATTTGCTATGGGTCGGATCAAGATCGGGCTCGATGGTCGTGTCCTCAAGCTTTGCGCCACCGGTCGACCAGTTTGGTGAGGATTGAGAGGTTGTGGGTATGGAGTTGATAATGAGGGCGATTGAGTGTGATATAGTGTTGGCTTGGTGGTGGTGGAATTTGGTGATCCGGTATTGGAGTAAATCGGCAGTGAAACCCTCTAGCGAGTGATGGTGGGTGGTAGTGGTGGCGATGGCGGGTGATGATGGGTGTAGTGGTGGCGATGCTGCTGCTATATATATATATATTGGCAATAGTGTATATATATAAGGGCAAATTTGACTTTTCATGACTTCTAATATTTTACAATAAAAATGAATTAAACATTGAAGGACAATCTCGTCTTTTCTAATGTTTTAAGGGCTTGTTTGGATCAAAATTATTACAAGGGGTGTCTTTGTCCAAAAAACAGTTAAGTTGTATATGGCTGTCAATACATCAAACCTCAAGGGGTGTCATTGTAATTAACCCTTTAAGATAATATGTTTGTGACTTTGAGATTCAGATCCTTCTTGTGGTTAAGGTTGTAAATGAATCGATTTGTTCATGAAATATTTTGAGGTAATATGTTTGTAACTTTGGGATTTAGATCCCTCATATGGTTAGGGCTGCAAACGGACCGAACTGTTCATAAACAACTCAAGCTTGGCTCGGGCTCGTTCGTTTAGTAAATGAGCTGAGCTCGAGCCCAATTTTCAAGCTCGTTTAGTATTCGAGCTCGCCTCGTATAGGCTCGTGAACATGGGCTCGTTAAGGCTCGGGCTCGTTATGTTTTATTTGGGTTGTATCATTTAATTTGGGCTTATCTATGTTATGGGTTTGATGTACATTATTCTTTTATTTATAATATAAGTTTACCTTCCAGGTTTTTTATTTTTTATTTTTTTTGTGAAATACTAATTAGTTTTGAGAATGAGTTTATATATATATATATATATTATTTTTATTAAACGAACCAAGCCTGAGCTTTTAAAATCAAGACGAGCCCGAGCTCAAGTTTTTTAGCTCATCACAAGCCGAGCCCAAGCTCGAGCCCGTGCAGATCCAAGCTCGACTCGGCTCGATTCATTTACAGCCTTACCGGCCTACCTGTGGTGGAAATCACAGGACCTTTCATGTGCCTTCAAATATTGACGTTTGGAAACATGGTTGACACTCAAGTAAAACCAATTAAGGCGATATTTGTTCATTCTTTTAAATATACTTTTTGTTTTTGGAATATTAATCAGCCCTCAAAATAAATCAACGTGATGAAAAATAATTGAAAAAATTAAAGAATTTTCAACACAAAAGAACAATGTGTGATTGTATATATATGTTTTGATTCATTAGTTACTTGCGTGTATATATTGGTTCTTGTTCAAATTAGATTTATACACATAAAAGCTTAGGTGCACAATCTTACCAATGTATATGCATCTATAAATATGGTGGCTGGTGGAAAGGGGGTGACATCTATAAATATGGTGGTTGGTACAGAGGAGGTGGTGGTAGGAGGTTGAGAGGGAAGGGTGATGGCCATCGTTAGAGGGTTGAGGTGTAAGAGGTGGAGATGACTATGGTTAGAGGGTAGGACTGTAAAAGGTGGAGGAAATAAAGTGATAGAGATATGGAAGTAGATAGGGGAGAAAGAGAATAAATATAATAATGGTAAGTTTTTTATTATTTAGAAGGTTATAATAAGGGTGGCAAGACTAGAGGACTTCCTTAATAGGAGGGGATCTCAATCTGTAACTTTGAATCTCGGTCAAGTTTTATATATATATATATATATTACACTTAACCTTTTTATTTTTATATCTCCTGTTAACTCTATATATATATATATATAAACTAAGAACAAAAACATATGGTATTAATACAGCGTATACCTCTCTTATGTGGTAAAAAACACTCGTTGACCTATAAATTTGTGCAAATGCCCTTATTTGAATATAATAAAAATATTCTAATAAGGGATCAAACTTTCCTATTGAAATGTTGCCGTAATGTTGCGAGATATATATATATATATATCTGGGAGGTTGTGAAAAATATATATTTTGTTTGACTAATTCCGTTGTCAAAACAAATCCGATCGAGTTGTAATTTTTCATTTCAAAATTTCAAGATTAAAGATCGGATGCGGATTTGAAGAAGTTCAAGTGTTCATACTCTAACACACTCCGAGATGATGAGAACAGTGTTTTAGAAAGGTATGTGAGTGTATGAGAACACTTATGAAGTTTTAGAAGTTTGAAGTTTTTAGAAAGTTTTAGAAGTTTGAAGTTTTTAGGAAGTTTACATTTTGCCTATTTCGAGCTGGTAGCCAAATCAAGGAACAGGTAGCCAAATAGAAGGTTTCACTTCTATCCATTGGAAACCGGTAACCAAATCTAGTACCGGTAGCCAACTGCTGAATTGTTTAGGTAACTTCAGTTTCATGATTTGTTTTGATTCCTTTTTGGTCTAGACTTCCTTCCAAGATCCTATGCACGAAATTGACTTATTTTCCAA